TTCTTCTCTTTTTTTCATTCAGTCCACAGGCTGCATTAAGAAAAAAAATAGAACACTATATACACCCAACAAGGATCAGCGATGTACTGGTACATCACTGGACTTTGAATGGTTATACCAGGATGATGCCTACAGCTGCAGGCATCATCCTGGTATCGTTTTTTTTCAGCCGGCAATCAGCTTTCATGTAAAAGCAATCCTAGTGGCTAATTAGCTGCAGGATTGCTTTTGCAAGCATCAGGAGATGATGCCTCCCTCCCCCGTTGCCTTCAAAGGCCTTCTCGGGCAGTCCCGTGCCATCGGGGGAACCTGAGAAGGCAGCCAGTGTTTCTGCCAGCTGACCATAGAGCTGATTGGAGACCAGAGTAGTGCCAATAATCTCTATCGTGTAAGAATTCGGTAGCTACAAGCATTTTATCACTTCAGTTTTGCAGCATATAAACAGCGCCATTTGTAAATTGGGAAAGCATCTGATCACACCGATTTTGGTTTGATTAGATAATGTAAGGGCAGAGGAAATATCCAGAGTCTGATAGACCTCAGATTTCTAAAAAAATAATATATGACAAAAATATGCCCCTTTATCACTACCTTCTCGGTTCAATACAAGCATATCAGTAAAATTATTAATAAAAACTGGGATATTTTAAAATTGGATCCGGTACTTACTAAGATTCTCCCTGAGAAACCCCCCAGCCTCCCCTCTGATGATGTGCCTTAGCACGAAAGGCCTTAGGAGGAGCTGCACAGAGCGTGACGTCATTTTGCAGCCGGAGCCACGGCGGTCATCTTTTAAAGGGTCACATTTTATACCTGGATTACATTTGTGCTCGATTTTAGCATGTTTACTGCCCTGTCATTTCCTTAGATTTGAAATAAAAACTTCAGTTTTGAGAAATACTACACTATCTTGGCACCTGTTCTTGGGCTCCTATGTGGAGCTGTTACGTCTACAGAACCAAGTCCTATGCCATCCAGCATCCAGAGGAGGGAGCCCTGTATGCAGGCTGAGCACCCATCAACCCTTAAGGGGACCTCTGGACCTAGCAGTATCTCATACCATAACCAGGCTGACTGGCCAGACCACAGAAGGATGCCCACCACCTGCTGACTACAGATCATCTAGGATTATTATTCCTACATGCGCATTATTCATGCGCTTCTGGTGAGTGCACACTTCTGCTATTTCAGTCACAATTTCCAGTGGGATAACTACCTCATAGGAAACTATAGCTGTCGAACTTTATTGATATAATTTATCTCATAAGGAGCCTTCCACTATAATATCCATTGAGCGCTGCACTTTAGTTATTTTTAGAATTGTAGTGCCCACCATTTTTATTCACTAGGGTGTCTGCTTTAAAAAAAATATATAATGTTTTTGGGGGTTTAAATTAATTTCCTAGCAAAAAATACTGTTTTTTTTCATGTGAACAAAAAGTGTCAGAAAAGGCTTGATCTTCAGATGGTTAGAAGAGTGAATGATGTGTGGCATAAACTTCTAATGCTGGGCATAAAATGCCCCTACCCCCCAAAGTGACCCCTTTTTGGAAAGTAGACACCCCAAACTATTTTTGAGAGGCATGTTGAATCAATAGAATTTATTTTTTTAACCACAAGTTTTTGGAAAATGACAAAAAAAAATATATTTTTTTTTACACAAAATTGTCATTTAAATGATTTACTGCTCACACGTGCCATGGGTATATGTGGAATTACTCCCCAAAATACATTCTGCTACTTCTCCCGAGTATGGGGGTACCACATGTGAGAGACGTTTTGGCAGTCTAGCCAAGTACAGGACCCCAAAATCCAATAAGCACCTTCAGGCTTTTAAAGGGCTTTATTTCCTCATTACACTTCCAGACTACCTATCACAGTTTCGGAGGCCCTGAAATGCCAGGATAGCACCTGACCCCCCCCCAAATGACCCCTTTTTGGAATGTAGACACCCCAAGGAATTTGATAAGAAGCATGTTAAGTATTTTGCAGACCTCATTTGTTGCCACAAGTTTTTGGAAAATGAAGAAAAAAAAAAAAAACATATTTTTTATATTTTTTTTTATATTTCAAAACCTTGTGAGAAAAAATTAGATCTGAAAAATACTCACCATGCCTCTTTTTAAATTTTTGGGGTGTCTACTTTCCAGAAAGGCATCATTGGGGGGGGGGGGGGGGGGGTTGGTGCTATCCTGGCATGTCAGGGCCTTCGAAACTGTGATAGGTAGTGAGGAAGTTGCACCTTCAGGCTTTCAAAGTGGTCATTGGATTTCAGGCTCCTGTATGTGGCTAGGCTCCTGTCAAGGTCCTACCTTTTCCCAGACTGTGCAGCTTCATGTACTGGTGTCCATCTTGGGTTTCTGCAGAGCATGGTGGGAGTCTTTTATGCCTTCAGGTCTCTGAGGTCCATCCCCCAGAGGGGTGTGGCTGAGTACATATAAGCCTGTGATCCGCACATGCTCTTTGCACTTGTGTCTTGTGTCTTTGTGTTGCTACAGCTCTGTGTATACTCTCGTTACTCTTCTGGTATCAGACTCAGCTTGTGACTAGACCATTCTCTGTGTTTTCCTTTGATCTGACCTTCCATTGCTGAACCCGGCCCATGACCTGTGATTCTTGTCTACTGTTCTGTACTGTTTTGTCCCGTTGTTGTCAACTCGGCCTGCCTGACTACGCTATTGTCATTCCTACCAGCTACACGCCATTGGCGGCGGCCATTACCGCAGCCGGGGTGTCTCGGGGGCCACGACCTGGTTCCTGGCTGTGTCAAGTCTATCCCCACCATCAGGGGCCCTGGTGAAGGGCAGCCTGGGACTTAGACTCCGCGCCCTGAGGGACTTCGGTCTGTTGGTGGTGGTTGTCGTCAGTCAGTTCGTTACTGTCAGGAATGGACTGGCCAGCAATGGTGGGACTCACCTGCCTTTTGATCTCCAGTACCAGGGCTGGCCAGCGGATGCTCCCAGCAATCAGAGACTCAACTTTGCAGCCAGCTAACACCTGGAACTGATTATGCTGGGGTATTTAAGGGATGGCCAGACCCACAGACTCTGCCTTGGTGTTGTGTTTGTCCTGGGCCCTGTATCTGTCCTGCATCCTGTTTCTGAACCGCTGCTGACTTCTCCTGCTCTGATCCCGGCTCGCTCCTGACCATCCCTCTGCTGACCCTCTGTACCACGCTGCTTGCTACCTGTTCTGATCCCTGGCTTGTGACCCTGACCATCTCTCTGCCTGACCCTCTGTACTACGCTGCTTTGCTACCTGCTGAACCTGGCCTGTGACCCCGACCAATCTCCGCTTGCTCCCCCTGTAAATACCTGCCCAATTGATATTGACCCGCCTGCCTGACGACGCTTGCTTGTATGTACTGTTTTCTGTGGGTGGTTGGTTTGGTTTGGTTTGGTTGCACTGTATTATGTTTTAGTATTGCACTGCATTTATGTTTGTATTGTTAGTGTTAATAAATTATATTGTTTATAACATATCTGAGGTCTGCGTTTCCCTGCGTCAGCCACACACCTCTGGTCACACCTGGGAGCCCTGACAGTTACCCTGCCACTAGGTACCTGTCCGTTCCACAGCCCTGCCCTGACAGCTCCCAAAAAGTCTCACACATGTGGTATCCCCATACTCGATAGAATTAGCAGAATGTATTTTGGGGTGTAATTCCACATATACTCATGACTTGTGCGAGAAATAAATCATTTAAATGACAACTTTGTGTAAAAAAAATTTTTTTTGTCATTTTTCAGAAACCTGTGGAAAAAAAAAATTTTCCATGGACTAAATATGCCTCTCAGCAGATAGCTTAGGGTGTCTACTTTCCGAAAAAGGGTCATTTTAGGGTGTTTGTACTATCCTGGTATTTTAGCACCTCAAGAAATGTGATGGGCAGTCAAAAAGTAAAAGCTGTGTAAATTCCATTATCTATACCATAGTTTGTAGACGCTATAACTTTCAAACAAAGCAATCAATATACACTTATTGGGATTTTTTTTAACCAAAAACATGTAGCAGAATACATTTTGGCCTACATTTATGATGAAATTTTAGTTTTTTTGGATATGAGAAATGAGAAAATATTGTTTTTTTTCAAATTTTTTTTTTCTTCAAAACTTTTTCTGGTATACCACCAAAAGAAAGCTCTATTTGTGTGGAAAAAAAGGACATAAATTTCATTTATGTACCATATTGCATGACCGCGCAATTGTCCATTAAACTAGCGCAGCACTGTATAGCAAAAAAATGGCGTAAATTGCAGTATCTATACCTATATATAGTTTGTAGACGCTATAACTTTCACACAAAGCAATCAATATACACTTATTGGGATTTTTTTTACCAAAAACATGTAGCAGAATACATTTGGCCTAAATTTATAACTAACTTTGAGTTTACTATATATTTTTTATAGCTGAAAGTAAAAAATATAATTTTTCTTCAAAATTTTCGGTCTTTTCTTGTTTATAGCATGAAAAATAAAAAGCACACAGGTGATCAAATATCACTGAAAAAAAGCTCTATTTGTGTGAAAAAAGGACGTACATTTTGTTTGGGTGCAGCATTGCATGACCACGCAATTATCAGTTGAATTAGTGCAGCGCCGAGTAGCAAAAAGAGGCCTGGTCATTATGGGGGGTAAATCCTGAGGAGGGCAAGTGGTTAATATTTACAAGTAGTTGGCAAGTTTCAGGCTAATCTGCTGCTTTTCACCAAGTTGATGTGCCAGAATAGCCTATGATGTGAATAGCAGGAAATCAAATTACAAACAGGTGAATGAGTCAGAAGAAAGATAAACCTACTCACCTCTGCTAGCAGATATGGATCTAAATGGGTTTTCAGCTAGACAGAATGCTTATGGGTAAAAACATTAACAACATATATAAAAGATAAGCCTATACACTTTTCTATGTTAAATGAAAATGTAAAAAAATGTACTATAATCCTTAATCCATATAGTTTAACCAGTTTTAGGGCTAGGGCAGGGGCGGACTGACAACTCATGGGGCCCCCGGGCAATAGGGGATCATTGGGCCCCTGTGTCTTTGCCCAAACTCAAAAAAGCCTTTGAAAAAGGTACCAGGGGCATCTCATGGGGCCCCCTACTGACCCCGGGCCCTCGGGCAGTGCCCGAGTTTCCAAATAGTCAGTCCGCCCCTGGGCTAGGGTTAGTAATAGTGCTTCCTAATACTGAGTTTTGTATGAGCTGGCAGCTCATCTTAACGCATAAAAAAACAGACCTGATTTTTTTTTTTTTAACAATATGTGCATTGTGGTGCACTGTATTGTTGTTGCTTTGCTGTAAGGGGGCAATAGAATGCCATTCAAAATAAATGGTTTTACAATGCACCCCACTGCACTGCAGTTTGTGTGCTACCATGTATTGCAGTAACGTTTGATAAAGTGCATATTTTATTGCACAAAGTGTGGAAAGGCCCCTTAAGGAGAGACTGGAAATCAAACAAAAAAAGCCTTCACATTTTCTTTTTTGTTTATTTTTGAAAGCTGTATATTCACAAAATGAAAGTCCTGTCTGGGCCTATAACAATGTGCTTAATACACTTGGCTACGAGAAGAGTTTGGGAGATATTAACATGCAAAGCAGTACATGGGTAACCATACAAATTGTTCTAGACATAAAAGCTGGGCAGCTGCAATGTGTCTCTTGTGCTGAAGAAATTTATATTTTTACAAAACAAATGCATTTATCAGTGTATAAAGATATACCAAACCTTTCTAATAAGAAACAGCATTTTCATTTGTGGGGTTTTTTTTAAGCACAATTTAGTAAATAATATGTTATAAGTAGCATTATTTTTCTTCTATGCTTACAAATACAGTAGTCGCTAAAAAATAGGTGCTATTATTCTGGACACTGATCCCTTGGCGCAAACAGTCACAGAATCTGTCTGGTTGACATGGGTGTAAGTTTGACTATTCACAATGGTATGCCTTTCCGGGTATAACAAACTTTATGTAAACATAGATCCTCTGTATTATCTGTAAATAATCAGCTGTTTAGGTAACAGCATCCTTTCCCTCCCATTCATAGATATTCTGATTCTATTTCTGAAATATGCGAGGCTTCAAATATATCTAAGAAAATACTGTAGATTTCTCAAGAATATCTTTACTGCAAGATATTTTCATTGCATATTAACCAAAGTTATTTCAGGCGGGTCCTTGAGTCACTATATCAAGCACATTTGTATTATAGGCTATTTTGAATGCCATTTGAAATGCTAACATATATTAACCAATTTCCGACCACCCTATAGCAGATATACATGGGTGTGCAAAGTCACGTATATATACAGGTCCAAGCAGGTGATTACACGTCGGCGCCCGGGGATTGCTGAGCATCTCTAACGGGGTGGAGAACTGTTTGTAAAACAAAACAGTTCTCCTCCCTGTCAGCTCATTGTTTGTAAAACAAAACAGTTCTCCTCCCTGTCAGCTCATGCACACAGCACAGCCATCCAAAGCAGTGCGATTATAGTGAAGCACAAAAACAGGGCCCCATAGTAGAAACACACCCAGCAAACAGTTAACCCTTTTATCGTACCTCATGTTAACCCCTTCCTGCCCAGTGCCATCAGTACAGTGCCAGTGCTTTTTTATTGGCACTGATCACTGTATTGGTGCCACTGGGGATGTCAGTGACACCAGGTCAGTTCCACCCAGTGTCAGAATGCCCGCAGTCCCGTTATAAATCACTGATCACCTCCATTACTAGTAAAAATTAAAAAACAAAAATCCAGTGTCTATACTGCCATTTGTAAACACTATAACTGTCAAGTAAACCAATTCATTTAGACATATTGGGATTTTTCTTTAGCAAAGACATGTACCAGAATACATTTTGGCCTACATTTATGACGAAATTTGATTTTTTAAAATTTTTTTACTGGACATGTTTAATAGCAAAATGTCAAAAATATTGTTTATTTCTCAAAATTGTCTGACTTTTTTTTTAAAGCACAAAAAATAAAAACCGCACAGGTAATCAAATACCACTGAAAGAAATCTCAATTTGTGGGGAAAAAAGGACGTACATTTAATTTGGGTGCAGCATTGCTTGACCGCTCAATTGTCAGTTAAAGTAACACAGCGCCGTAACACAAAAATGGCCTGGTCAGGAAGGGGGGTAAATCTTCAGAAGGGCAAGTGGTTAAAAATTTATTAAATAAACACACTTAACTATTGTTCAATTTACATAGAAGCATATGTATGAAAGAATGTGCTAACAGGAAAAAAGGTTTGATGTCAGTAGCAGCCTTTCACCTTCCAATTCTCATTTCTGCAGTGTAGTATTGAAAAGGAAACAAGGATTATAATTGGTTACTGTAGGTAAAAATAAAAATTTCTTCTCAGCACACATCCATACATAGGCCCCTATAGGAGGATTCAAAACTTTGTGCTTGCTATAGCACAATGTAAAAAAACATGCATTTTAACACAGGATGCCCAAACATTGTAATGTGCTATATATTTGCATTGTAATGCATTGTCATTCATTCCGTAATGTCACCTACTGTAAATGCAGATATACTGCAAAAACAGACATACCTGCACTATTGCACACCACAACACACATGTGAATGCTCTGTGCATTGTGGCGTGTTGTGACGCACTGTTGTGCCAATAATAGTATCATGTGTTATTTTGTGTCTTAAGGCGAGTTGAGGACCCACTCAAAGTGAATGAGCTGCCCTAATGAAATGCGTGTCAGTGCATGAAAATGTATGTGTTAACACGCGTGCTTTAAAAAACTGTGACCTGGGCCTTCAAAGCTGCTTATAGAACAACAAACCTTGCATTCTTATTATGATTTTTCCACTAAGATGTACAGAGTTCAAACCCTAATCTATCCTTATTTTCATAGCACCAATATGCAAATTATCTACAAAATGTAACAAGGCCTTTTCAAACTTAAATAGTGATGGGCAAATGTGCCCAAGTTTGACGGAACATGGTAAAAATTCAACAAACCCGAACTTAGAGGCAAATCCTATTAAAGTCTATGGGGGGCAAATCTTGTTAATTTCTGGCCATTTTTGTGACTGTAGAAAAATTAATTTTAAAAACAGGCATAGACACCAGGGCACTGAAATGGGGAACATGTACCAATGCAAAAACGTATTTATAAACACCGTACTATGGGAAAAAGGTCCTATCAACATAAAAACATTTTTTTAAAAACCCCACAAAGGAAATTTAAACCCAAAAGTATTGAAACAAAAGCCCGCTTTTTTTTTAAACATGTTTTCACCCGGCCTATAGCAGATTGATGGCCGCGTCGGATGTTCCTCTCTGTGAGTGCCACTCAAGAGGCCGCTCAGCAGTGCGATCTGTCACTGGCTGTGTCCACCAGACACAGCTGATGACTGATCACTATACTGGCCCTCTGCCAGTGTCATGTGATTGCTGTGACCAATCACAGCAGATCACATGACAATTGTAAACAATGGATTGCTTCCTTTCATGCCATCCATTGTATACAATTGTGTTGTTAGCTGTGATTGAACACAGTGATCACATGGTGCATACAGGGCCAATCACAGCCCATCTGTACCATGTGATTAGCTTTGGTCAATGACATCTAATCACAACAAAAGACACTGAATGAATCAGTTTCATTTAGTAAAACACTGTTTTGCTCTGGTCACAGCGTGTTAAAAAAATTTTAAAAAATAGAAAAAAAAATAAATTTTATATATATATTTTTATATACTTTCACAAATCAGTGTAGTATTGGACTGGTGACAATATGTTAAAACAGATTGTGAAAAACATTTTTTGTACATTTCTTCATTTTCCAAAAAATTGTGACAAAAAAAATTACAAAAACCTCGCCATGCCTCTTACTAAATACCTTGGACAGTCTATTTTCCCAAAAGGGGTCATTTAAGGGGTATTTGTACTATCCTGGCATTTTCTGGCCTCACGAAATGAGATAGGTCATCGGTACATCAGGATTGATCGATTTTCAGATATATACCACAGTTTGTGGACTCTATATCTTTCCCACAGACTAAATGATAAATGCAAATTTGGGTTATTTTCACCAAAGTAATGTAGCAGTATACATTTTGGCCTAAATTTATGAAGAAAACGGAAAATTAAATGACAGATACTTACCATAATTTTCCTTTCCTGATGAGCTGATGTCAGCACAGCTGGGTGTCAGGAATGGACTCAGCACTGGTGGTGGGACTCGCCTGACGTGTGGGCTGCAGTACCAGAGCTGACCAGCGGGTGCTCTCAGCACTGGTGGTGGGACTCACGTGCCGTGTGGGCTGCAGTACCAGAGCTGACCAGTGGGTGCTCTTAGCAGCCAGAAGCTCACAATCAGCCAAACCTGGGGCTGATTGCAGAAAGATGTATATAAGGCATGACCAGGCCTGTGCTCTGGGCCTTGGTGTATGTTTTCCCATGAGCCTCTGTACCTAGTATCTTGAGTTCCTGCTTCGTTGCTGACCCGGCTTGATTCTGACCTCTGCTGACCGTCTCCTGTTTGAACCCCTGGCTTGCCTGACCATCCTTCTGTCTGATCCCCTGTACCCCGCGCTGTCTGTGAGTTACTGAACCCGGCTTGTGACCTTGACTATTCTCTGCCTGCTCCTTTGGTACCTTGCTGCCCGCACGTTGCTGACTTGGCCCGTCTGACCACGCTAACTACTCTGCCATCCATCCATCCTGCACGGATCCAGCCGTACCTGCACATACCTCTGGCAGATCCCTCTACCACTAGCAGGTGTACTCAGGGGCCGCGACCTGGTTCCTGTCTGCTCCAAGTCCATCCCCACCATCAGGGGCCCTGGTGAATAAGCAGGCGGGGACTTAGACTCCGCGCCCTGGGGAATCCTGTCCTGGGGACCACTAGAGGTACCACCAAACGGTCATTACAGAACCCTACGGCCGGCCTGACCGTTCCACCTCTCCAGCCCTGACTACGCCTGTGTTCCTGCACCTCCTAAGATTAGTGGAAGGTTGGTTTGCTCACTGTGCGTTTATATATATATATATATATCTGGAAGGTTGGTTTGCTCACTGTGCGTTTATATATATATATCTGGGTGGCTAATAATAAACTGTATTATACTGTACCTGAAACCTGCGTTTCCCTGTGTCAGTCCACACCTTTCTGGTCATTCCTAGATTCCTGACATCACACCAAGGCCTTTTTCCTGACCAGAAG